ATTCACATTATACCTTTATAAATATTTATTAAGTTTGTTTATTTTCCTTACTTTTTTATTTTTTTATACCTTATTATATTCATATAATCATGTTTCTATAACTAAATAAATATTCAATATTAAGCTTATTTTGAAGGTATTGACAAAACAACTATAATTGTATAACTTGTTAAGATAAAAACATAATTTTTAACGTATTTTAGTTAATATATGATTATGTATGTTAATGTGATAAGATTATAAAACAAAATGAAAAAGTAAGGGATGTATTAAAAAGTTAAATAATTAACTATAAAGGTATATAATGTAGGTATTAAAAATATTTTTTTCATAGTATATATGATACATAATAATATAATAAAATAAAAAAATATTCAATATTTTACTCATTTTGAAGGTGTTGACGAGACGATTATAATAATATAATTAAATCAAAAAATATTCAATATTGCGCTGATTTTAAAGATATTAACGAGACGATTATAATGGTGTAACTTGTTAAAATTAAACGTATTTTTAACGTATTTTATTTAATATACGAATATATATTTTAATGTGATAAAATTGTAAAACGAAAAATGAAAAAGTAAGAGGTGTCTCATAAATTAAACAATTAATTACAAGGATATAGAATGTAAGTATTAAGAATATTTTTTCGCAGTATATATGATATAATAATATAATTAAATAAAAAAAAATCAATATTTGACTCATTTCGAAGGTATTGACGAGACGATTGTAATAATGTAACTTATTAAAATTAGAACATATTTTTTTAAATATATTTGAGTTAATATACAATTATGTATATTTAATGTGATAAAGGTGTAAAATGAAAAATGAAAAACTAAGAGACGTAAAACAAATTAATTAAGTGTGTATAAAGGTATAAAGCATAATTTTAAAATTAAAAATTATATTAAACAAGGGAAAAGTATCCGATGAGACTTTAACATTTGAAATGATTAAATTTTTGAACTTTCTAAAATATATTAGATACATCTTGTTAAATAACTCTTTGGAAAGTCAAATAAGTAATAAGAATGTATCTAACAGGTTTTAGAAAGTCCAATAATTTGTGTAACATGTTTTGAAATGTTCAAAAACTTATTTATTCCAAAAAAAATATATAAATACTTAATTATTTCAAACAATAAAGTCATCAAAACAACAACACGTGAATTTAAAGTCATTAAAATATTGTAATTAAAGTTATTAAGAAGAAAATCTAGATAGAGATAATAGTCCATTTAGTAATATTAGAATAACACAATTAATCTGATCTTTATAATATTTTTTTATTTTTATTAAGTAATAATATTTTTTTATTTTTATTAAGTAATAATATTTTTTAATTTATTAGATGGTCTTATAGTTTTACTTTAAAAAGTAAAATTTAAATGGCTGTTTATTAAACACTTATTTGATAAGTGTTAACCGGATAAATTTCCTAATCAGATGAACATGAGAAATATCTAGAATCTTACCAAATAAGAGCAATGAGAATGATGGAAAGTCTTACCCGATAAGTGAGGATGACGACTCTTACCCAGGTAAGCGCTTACCCAGTAAATTGTTGCATTCGATATGTTTTGATGCACTAAAATCTTACGCATAAAAATAAATCATAGTATTACTTCTATCGGTAAGCGTTTATCGGGTAAACAATTGGATAAACGGCCCCTAAATCTCAAATTCTTTTTTTTAAATATAAACAATGATTTAATCTCGTGTTTATTGGTCAATTAATTGAATTTAAATATCAAAAAATATTTTACCGTAAATAAATTACCGGACGGTTTTCAAAAGAAGTCAAAAAGAAATATCTTATTCCCCCAAAAGTTACCAACCAAAAAACCCTCCCTCTATGTTATGCGGCTTTACGCCATTTTCTAGAGAGAGAAAGCTAGATTCCAGAGAGAGAGAGAGACGATGAAGGGTACGACGAAGCGGCCGATCCAGGTGGTAAGGACATGGGTACGGAGGCAACCGCCGAAGGTGAAGGTGTTTCTAGCCTTTGTCTGCGCCATCGCCGCCCTTATTTTTATTCGTATGGTGGTTTACGATCATGATAACCTCTTCATTGCCGCCGAGGCCGTTCACGCTCTCGGAATATCTGTTCTTATTTATAAGCTAGCCACCGAGAAAACTTGCGCCGGTAAATTATACATTGCCTTAAAAAATTTCTTCCTCTGAGGTTATAATTTGTTGAATTCCTCTTTACGTGAATTATTGTTTCCATTCTTTTGTTGATTGCAATCAGTTTGTGCAAATAACCGTTTTTTTTCCCGTCTCGGGTGTTATTTTTTGATTTTTATTGAAGATTTTGTTAAATTTTCACTGAAATCAACAATCTTTGTTTGTCGTAATTTTGCTTTCTGGAGGCGATTTCTACTCTTTTGTTCCAGGAAGAGCTGCATTTTGATCTTGTGAAGTTGAAATGGGTTTATTCTACTGCCCACCGTTCCTTAAAACGAGATGGTTTAGACCTTTGAATTTCTAGCCTAGTAGTCTCCAGAAACAGAATTAAATGGTATTTAGATGATCATTTCATCACCAACGATGTTAAATTTGTATGATTTGTTGTGATGTTCAACGAGGGAATCGTTTTCTTTTACAACAGTTGTAGTATTTGAAATGATCAGGATGTATTTGGGAAAGGTTGAAACTCATTTATTTGTGGAAGAACTAGAAGACTGTATTAATTCTGGACTTATGTAGAAGAACTTGATAGGGAGATTGAGATCCGATGTGTACAAATTACATGGATTAATATGTGTTATTTGAGGGACTCTGTCAAAACCTTTTGAAAAATCCAAATCAATTTCGAGTGAAATTTGATCCAGGTCAAACTGCATCCCTTTCTTTTGCAACATCGGAAGTAAACTTTCTGATCTAGACTAGCTCCTTTCAAGCTCCAAATTGGTGTGGATTTTATTTACTAATTTGTCACCATGATATATTGCTTGCTGTATTCTTATGAAGTTCACATTAGTTACAGTTTAACCTTGAAACTCATCGAAAATTCTTAAGTCGGAAACTTATCTAGATCAACCTGCATCGCTGGCATTCTTATAGATTCTCGTGTAGGCAGATTCTTGGGTTAATATTCTTAATTGGTGTCTCAATGCAGGTCTTTCACTGAAATCACAGGAACTGACGGCTATTTTCTTAGGATCCAGACTCTATTGCAGTTTTGTAATGGAATATGATGTGCATACTTTACTAGACTTGGCTACGTTGGCAGCTACTGTTTGGGTTGTCTATATGATGCGTTTTAACTTAAATGCTAGTTACATGCACGAGAAAGACAATGTTGCGAATTATTATGTGGTGAGTTCTTGGGTATCTTAACACTTCTTCTTTACTTTCTTGGTTCCCCAAATATACTCTTACTTCTCCTTTCATGGATTCTTGCGACTTGTGAGCTTTTGTGTAGGCATGAATCCATAACCTGACCCTAACTTTGTCTTAATAGACGCACTGGATTTGTTAATTATACTATGTATATGTCAGACATGCTAATTATGTCATCACTCAATGTGTATTCATGCCATGTAGTGACTAGTTGAGAAATTGTAGTTATCATATCTTGAGTCGTATTTAATGGCTTCTGAATCATGAACATTAAGTTTTCAGTCCTGAAACAATCTATCTTGGGAAAAGCCTTAATAACTTGACTATAATGACATAACAGAATGATATGGCTATGTTCACTTCGTGCAATCTTCAAATGCTTAGTTGATGGCCATCTCTCCATAACGTATAATTTAAAGTTCATATCCATCTTGATTTACTCTTTTACAAAGAATTTTTCCATAAGCCCGATCGTTTTATTTCCTACTAACATGCATTAATATCATCCTAATAGCATTTTTTGTTCATGATCAGGTCATTCTTTCTTATTTCGTCCTGAAACAAATGCATTGTTGTGTTGTTCTTGGTACTAATGATATTATTTTTATCTATGTATTAGTATCTTTAAACAGATAGTTTACTGTTTCATGAAGAATCCCTCTGGAGAAGTGTACTTTATTGTGAATCATGAGATAGTTCAATTGTAGGTTTATATAAGATTCTGCAATGTGTGAGACACGTGAATAATAATGATCTCGTAACTATCAAGATTCTAAAAGTACTGCATTGAGTTTGTATTGTTTGCTCGAATGGATAACATCTGCAGTTGTTTCTGCTTATTCCAAACCCTCATATTTCATGATCTGAATGTAGGTGATTCCTTGTGCTTTATTGTCTCTGTTGATTCATCCCACCACACAGCATTACATTGTAAACAGGATTCTTTGGGCCTTTTGTGTTTATCTGGAAGCTGTTTCGGTACTGCCACAACTTCGTGTTATGCAAAATACCAAGGTCAATATGTAACAAATATCTTATGATTGGTTGGAAACTTGTATATTTGTTCTCCTCTAACTTGAGTTTATTTTTGTTTAGATTGTTGAACCGTTCACAGCACATTACGTTTTTGCTTTAGGGGTTGCAAGGTTTCTGAGTTGTGCGCATTGGATTCTCCAGGTATATGCACAGTCAATATCTGAATTTTACATGCCATGATACATAATGCAGTAACTTTAGCTGATCAAGGCAGAAATAGAGCCACTTGAGCAAGTTCAAAGGAATAAATTTCGACTGAAAGATAATCTGCAAGACCCATTGGATCAGATGATAGAATAAGATGACCAATATAAAGTCCGGATTCTTTTCCTTCTGTTTGTTCACAGGAGAGATAAACTAGAAGTTGTAAATGTTATAATGAGGTTTGAATTGTATTAAAAAATTTCGGTCAAATTTGATTTAAATAACCCTCTGATGTGTCACAAATCTAGCCACACTACTTGACATAGTTATTATAGAGTGTGAGATCCATCGTTTTTGAACTTCACAATGTGCCAAAGCAAGAGGGATGACACAAAATGAAGACCGAGCCAAATGGTCTCAAATAATCTTGTTAGGAGCAGTCAGTGTGGCATGTATGGTAGTCGGTAGTCCTTCAACTATTTTCATGGTGGCACCAATCTTGTTAGGAGTCCCGCATCTGTTAGACACAGACCATCAAACCTGTATATATATGTAGGAACCTCCCTATCTTCATCAGGGCTTTTCTAGAAAGAGATTTAAAGAGGTTCATTATCCTCACATGGTACCTGAGCTGGGGTCTAGCACCATCTAGGGACTCAACACACTCTTTCGCCTTCGTTCTTGGGGGCACTGTTTAGCCCTTTGAGGGGGAGTGTTGGGGGGAGTCCCACATCATCTAGATACGGACCATCAAACATGAATATATGTAGGAACCTCCCCTTTCTCTATAAGGGCTCTTTTAGAGAGAGAGAGAGAGAGAGAGAGAGAGAGAGATCCAAAGGGTTCCACAAATCCTCACAAATCTCATTCTCTATTACATGATGTTGATTCCTTCATTGGTATTCAAGGGTCCATGCCATTCTCCTCAACCTGATGGATGTGGGTTCAAGTCTCACGGCGACATAACACGACTGTTTAAAAGAAAAAAAGTTATTTCTGATGAAAGTTGTTCGGCGTTCGTGCAGGTGTTGGATACCAGGGGACGGTTGTTGACAGCTTTAGGTTACGGATTATGGCCTTCGATGGTTCTCCTTTCTGAAATCGTCCAAACATTTATACTAGCCGACTTCTGCTATTACTATGTCCAAAGGTTCCATTTCTTCTTCTTGTTTCATCCCATTTCATGGTTGCAACGATATCGAACATGACTTGATTCTTTTGGTTTACAGTGTTATGGGCGGACAACTAGTGTTACGCCTTCCTTCTGGCGTGGTGTGAGTGGAACGATGGCGTAAAAAAGAACTGTTTTAATAACTCCTGAAAACAGAGATAGTAAGCAACATCATGTTTATGGTTTTCTTCTTGTTTCTTTTTTTGTTTGTTTTCATGCATCATCTCATGTAGATTACCATGGGACTCATCCCCCTGTTTAAGTTTATGTAAAGTTTTTTTTTTTTGATTTAATGTATTTTTAGAGTATTTGGGAGTTATTGTTTCTCATCGTTGTTGTTCATAGGATAGTTTATTTATTTCATTAAAGTAACCGGCTTTTCGGCTTTTTATTTCTACAAAGGAATACTCTGTATTTGGAGGCAATTTTGGTCTGGCCTTGGGTTTTATGAGGCCAACCATCTCCAATTGTTGTCGATAGATGGTCAAACTCGGTCCCAGGTCGGTCCCAAGTTGGTCATTCAAAACCAGGCCGACTGGTCTTGGTCTTGACCAAAAATCTTTGGACGGATCTTAGGTCCGGTCCCAAATCTGATCCTGTTTTTAATTTTTTTTAGAATTCTTTTGCACAAAAATCGTCTCATGTGAGACTGTTGTTTTCGTTTTTTTTACCTTCACAACATTTTGTTGTAAAGTTTCAAGTGTAAAAATCGTGTCTCAGTCTTATCTCACGTGAACCCAACCCTTTTAATTTATATTATACTATGATTGAACGTAAATAAACTCTTTTAGTATGCAACTAACGTGGGACTCTCATGTCGATCTGAATAAATCATGCTTTCCATGGAGGTAAATATTTGCATGTAAAAGTATAGCAAGTTACAAATTCTGTCTCAGTGGAACATGTATCTCTATTATTATGAATTTCATAAAAATGAAGTAGTTAATGGTAAACAATCTAAAATAAGCGTTAACAAGAACATTAAACAACATTTTCTACATAGATGAAGGTTTATCAAACAAAAGATTGGGTTAAAGTCGAAGTAAATAATGTTCGCTTGAAAGATATTATACATAAACCAATTATACCGTGTTGCACTGTTCGTGCCGCTTCATTACTTTGGCACGGTCTGTGGTAAATTTCAGCCGACTTTGCACGACCGTTTTGATTTGCCTTCATTTGAGTGATATGTGTATATATATATATATATATATATATATATATATATATCCTTGTTAAAGATCGGTTGGGTTCTTGTAAGAAGGAAAGTTAAGGTGAGAAGCATAAGAAGATATCTCCAACTTGGATGCACATTAGGTTAGATGCACCGCGATGAGATGCATTGGATCAATCCTCGTATCAAGCGTTAATGAACGGGTTTGAGATAAAAGGCGATCAACGGTTCAGATCCCTTCTTACGCTTATCACTTTAATTGTCCTCACACGATCCTTCGCCTTATAAAGATTAGGATTTACCGATGACTTGAATATTGTTGGGCTAATAACCTCTAAAGACACTTGCATTTTAAGTGAAAGTGTGATTATTGATTATGCAAGCCACAAGTAGTCGCGCCGGAGGCTGTGGGCCAGGCGACTTTTGATATGCTTAAGTCATCTGAAAAGTGGCCTGAACCTTTTAAAACCCGATTTTTGACCTAGGATTTCTCATTTCTTCATCTATTTTAGAGATTTTGAGTTTGGGGAAATTAAGCAAAATTAATAACGTTAATTCTAAAATCATTCAGGAGAAACACAATTACGATTTGCCAAAAATATAAAGACAATTATGACCTTCTAAAGTAATACCCGTAACATCAATTACTAAGTTAATATCAACGGTGATGGATTTTTCTACACTTGCATCAACACCTTAGAATCGCTCACATATCATGAACTGATGGTCATTTTGTCGTGTGTTTATGCATCCATTTCCATATGGTCAACTGATCAGGTTTTATTAATTCTTCAAAGGAAAGAAAATGTCTAATATTACAGATTTTCTTATTTGTTAATATATATATATATATATATATATATATAATACGTATCTAAAACTTTAAAAACACAATCTCGCTACATATTTGGTGTCATTAATGAAAATATTTCGTCAATGATTCCTCCTATGATCGACAAGTAGAGCTACGTTCATTCCAATTGTACGGTAGGTGAATAAATCCTCACGCAAAGATAGTTCACACCCAAATTCATCTCATTTTAAGGAGTCAAATTCTCTCTTTCGAGACTTTTAGTAGCAAACTAATATTTGAGGTTATACAAAGCGACGATGATATCCAAGTCTATGATTGGTTCACTTTTAGTAGTTCTCGTAGTTGTTCAATTTATTCAAGCCCACGATGAAACAGTGAGTTGATTTCTACGATTTCTATTAAGAAATGTGTACACTTTGTGTTAATTCCTTTTTAGTATGTTTATCGTTGATTAAATACTGATTCGTTTTAATATCAACTTGTTGCCATGCAGATAGTTACGGGTAGCGCTCCAAACTCTTCCCTCCAGGATATAGGTTAGATCGTGATCGTACCATATATAGATGCAAAATAGATACACGTTCAATAAAAGCTTATGATTTTCCAATTGCGTGGCTCAACATATATACTGTGAGAACCAACTATTCATAAATTATTTATGATGAATATCATGAGTAATAAAATCACATTATATTCATGATGAATAATATACATTAATATTTAGGTATATTTATCATGTATAATTAATAAAAAGTTGGTTCTCGCTATTCTTAATATATTTACGGTTACTAAATCAAGATGACTATTCCATGATCCAAGTTCATATTGATCTGAAAAAAAGAGACATAACTTCCTCTTGAACCTCGAACAACCTCCCGCTTTTGTCAGATATACTACGAAGTTGGATAAAATGCGATTCATGCAAAAGCGGATTGGACTGGAGAATGATAACTTTTATATGTTGTTCTATACCTCCATTGAGAAAGATCCATTTATATAGATTGAATGAGAGTGGATAAGAGGCTCGTGGGATTGACGTGATGGCTCTCTTCCTACTGCCTCTCTTGCCTAAAGCTTAGAAATTCATCTATTTTTTCTGTATACTAAATTACTAGGTGTACTGGTACCAAAAGTGAGTAGACAAGAAGGCTGCCCCTCACAGAAGGAGCATTTCCTCAAGGGCAATTCCTACGTCCCTCATTGGTCAAAATCCCCACCTCTGCATGACACTTACTAGATTTTTAAAGAAAGATTGAAAAAACGCTTCTTGACCTTATTGTCGAGTAGGAAGGGTTTTCGCTACTAAAGAAATTTCTTCAGTTGAAATAGCTCTTTTCTGAGATGTCTTTCAAGCTGAAGAAGGAAGGATTTTCATCAAATCAGGATGTCCCAGGCACAGTAAGCGAAAGCGGGCTCAACCTTACGGTAGAGGGGGCACTACTTTACTGGATCAACATTTTATTTTTAACTTTTCCCCATACATACATATATATATATATATATATGTATATATATATGTATATATATATGTATATATATATATGTATATATATATATATATGTATATACACACACAAATAGAATCACTTCATTTATTTTCTCAAATGATGAGTGTTGCATAACTTTACAATTGACTTTACTAGGGACATAACTTATGGAAAAAAAGTTCTTATATTATTTAGTATCATATATGATTGCCTATAGTAAAATAGTGTTTTTGTGTTTTCATAAAATGAAAGTGTTATTATTTGAACTCTTTCATATATATATATATATATATATATATATATATATATATATAGGGGGGCATTCAAGGGAGAACTGAATAGTTTGTGGTAACTGTGAGATCCAATCTCAACCACAAATCAACGGATAAATTATGAAATTAATAATTATGGTAGTTTGAGTTAAAATTATAATTATAGGACGTATTAGGTATTTTTAAAAAACTCCTCTCTCCTCTCCCCGACCTCCAATCTCTGGCCTCCGATGAACATTAATCCGGCAGGTACCAAGTAATCACAAAGATACACAATGTGATAACCATTGTGATATACTGTGATACCATTGTGATACCAACTATGATACCAACTCAAACCTTAAAAACAAAGATACACAATGTGATATCCATTGTGATATACTGTGATGTCGGATTAATGTTCACCGGAAGCCGGAGATTGGAGGTCGGAGAGATGAGAGAGGAGAGAATAGAGAAGAATTTTTAAAAAAATACCTAATATGCCCTCTAATTATAATTTTAACTCAAACTAYCATAATTATTAATTTCCTAATTTATCSGTTGATTTGTRGTTGAGATTGGACCTCACAGTTACCACAAACTAATCAGTTCTCATTTGATTAGGCCCCTATATATCTAGGGGTTGGTTCAAATGTTAACCAAGATTTTTGTGTTAACTTTGTTAACCAATCTTAGCCATTGATTCTTACAATAAAGGGTTGTGATTAATCATGATAAAAAATTAAATTTTAAATTTATAATTTCAAAGAACATATGTGAACAAAGGGTATTTAGGTAATTTTCTTTTTTATGTAACTCCCATATCATTAATTATGAGTTACAAAATCAAAAAATCTCATTATTTTTACTAATTTATTTTTATTAATTTATTTTTGTTAATGTAAGAACCATATGAACACACACACACACACACACATATATATATATATATATATATATATGAACCATTGTGTCAAATACGAACAAAAATTGACATATATATGAACTTGGACTGTATAGCATTTATGAACACAATATGAATATAATAAAAATAGTTGCTACACGAAAATAAATAAATAAAAAAACAGGTATGAACACAATATGAATAGTTTGTGAACAATAGTTCCTTCATTATGAACACATTCAGAAACAAGCCAAATGTTGAGACATGCAGCTAGTGTACATATGAACACAATATGAACACTTGTGAACAATTATTTAATAATTACATATGAATTCGAATTACGATTGTAGTCGTAGACGATTTTAACCTTTTCATTTTCATTGTTGTTGATCTGTTTTCCAATAGGTTTATTCATATTATTCAGACGATATCGAAATCTTTACAATCGGAAATTCTTTAACAATTACAAAATCAATATCATTATGGATAGAATAACTCGAAATTACAAAACATGAACACGTATAAAAAAATATCAATATTACATAATCATTAATTATTGAGAATTTTAGATTTGTAACTCCCAATTAATGATTTGGGGGTTACATAAATGACAAATTACTTAATTACCCTTGTCATTAATATATGAGTTATATGTGAACCTAGAGAAAAAAATGGAATATGATTGGTTGAGCCTGGTTAAGAAAGTTAACACAAAAATCTTGGTTAGTATTTGAACCAAGCTCTCTCTCTCTCTCTCTCTATATATATATATGTATATATATATATATATATGTATATATATATATATATATATGTATATATATATATATATGTATATATATATTGGGAATTTTGCTAGGAATTGGGAATTTTTCCCGTACATTATTTCTTCAAGGTAACAATGAACTATTGTTGAATGTTTATACGCTAAACTGATTTTATTTTGGGGTTATAAAATGGTGCAGATTGTGATGAAAAATGCCTCTTGAGGTGCAGCAAAGCGTCGAGGACAAAGATGTGTTTAAGGGCATGTGGAACTTGTTGCGAACGTTGTCACTGTGTTCCACCTGGCACTTATGGTAACTACGATACATGTCCATGTTATGCTGACCTGACAACTCATGAAGGCAGGCGCAAATGCCCATAAGTCATTATTTTGAATTGATATCACCTATTGTTATCGGAAGTTCCATAAATATGAGTTTCAAATTTCGATCAAAACCGTAATAAAAAGATACGACATCAATGTCAAGTGATAATTTGGAATATTGCTTAGGAGATTGTGTCATGTTAAAATAATGAAGATGATAATATCCATGATTGACACCCTCCACAATAAAAATGGTTAATCAATCTCTCATAATTACAAAAAAATGAACAAAATAAAAAATTATGATTGATTGAATGAGGTTTTCACGATTTTTACAAATTGAATGATTTTTATTTGAACCCACTCCTCTATATATATATACTAGAAGCGTACTCGCGCAATGCAGCGAGATACATCGTGATTTTAATATTTCATTTTATTCTTTATCTCARTCGATGTTTTAATATGACTTTATGT